TACATGTTTTTAAGTCCTCTTGATATATTTTCCAATTTCTGTTCATATTCAGTAAAAGATATTTGTGAATTGGATCAGTCATTGGATTTTTTGAGCCATATTTTTCACATGAGGTTTCTTTAGAAGCCATTAAATCATATTTAATGATCAATCCAATTCCACCTAAATGCATTCTGGACACCTTCTTCTAATTGTATAACATCACTATTTATATCGAGAAATTTCATAGTGAAATTCTCTTGCGTACATAAATAAAAAAATATTTCAATAAATGAAATGAAAATTTTACACAGCGGAGGAAAAAAGTTGAGAAGCGATCAATGACAAATAGCTAATACGGCGAAAAAACCCCCTTCTCTACTTATTGGCGCCACGCCAGGAGAGATGAGACCTTTGAACCCAGAGTCACGTGATCGCACATCTGGTCGAACGAAGTCTCTCCCTTTTTTTTCTGCCGCGCCTACTTGCCGAAAAGAATCCAGAAGAGAATGTCCGAGAACCGGGGGAATGAGTCATAACTCGCAATAAGGAAAGAACAAAAAAGAAGTTTTTTCCCTCTTTTCACGCATTATCACTGCCTTTGGAGAAAGAAAGGAAAAGTTTTCACCACACACACTGACCTTGCGTTTTCTGCTTTCAAAGCAAACAAAATTACCCAGATCAAAATAAATAATTCATTATTATTCCTACTTCCTTTTGAACGACGATCTCTGGAATTCCGGGGTTTCCCCAGAGCACAAACACCCCTAGAACCAGATGAGGATTTGGTTAATTCAGAAATACGTAAGACAGTTATTGTTACGTTGGCAAAGAGTGATAATTATATTGAATGGTACTATAAGTATTTCTCATCATTTAAGAAAATTGTAAGAATGTTATCATGGATATTCAGATTTTATAATAATGTATGTAAGAATAATAATAACAACCATTCTAAGGATTTTACTGTATCTGAAATAGAAAGGGGAGAAATAGCTTTAATGCTATTAATGCAAAAAGAGTCGTTTAATGGTGAAACAGATGATAAGCTAAGACGACTCAGACCATTTGTCGATAGTCAGGGTCTAATAAGAGCTAAGTCTAATGTTGCTTATCGTGACGACTCTAACAGCTTTAAGTTCCCCATCATATTACCTTTTGAACATCCAGTAGTCAAATTATTGATATTAAGTGTACACAAAGATTTGTTGCATGCAGGTACTACATTATTGATGTCGCATTTAAGAGAAAGATACTGGATCTTAAAATCACGTAAAACTATAAGGAACTGTATAAGAAAATGTGTAACATGTCAGAGATTTAAGGCTAAAAGAGTAGAGACAGTCCCAGGCGTTTTACCAAATGATAGGGTTCGTGATTCAGCCATTTTTGAAATCGTAGGGTGTGATCTTGCAGGACCCTTGCATTTAAAGGATGGACGAAAATCATATATTGTGCTCTTCACGTGTGCGGTTTATCGTGCTATCCATATGGAATTGGTTACCTCATTAACAACTGAATCATTTTTTCAAGCTTTAAGGCGTTTTATCGCACGTCGTTGACGCCCTACCACCATATATTCCGATAATGGGACAAATTTTGTGGGTGCAGAGAGAGTTCTGCAAACCATTGACTGGGACAGCCTCTGCTCTAAAGCTGCTGAAAAGAGAATACGATGGAAATGTAATGCTCCATCCACTGCTTGGTGGGGTGGATGGTGGGAGCGTTTAATACAAATTGCAAATATTAAGGAAAATTTTAGGTCGTGCTTCTCTTGGTTATGAAGAGTTACTCACCGTCTTGTGCAATTGTGAAAGAATTGTTAACTCAAGACCACTTACGTACGTGTCTGACGATATTGAAGATCCCTTGCCTTTAACTCCAAAAAAATTTCTGCATGAAACTCCACAATCAGGTGTACCTGATATTGACAATGTGGACAAAGAAAAATTGAGTAGAAGAGCGAAGTATCTCCAGAGAATGAGAGAATTGTTAAGAGTGAGATTTCACTCTGAGTATCTAGGGCAGTTAAGACAGCAGTCTACCAGAAATTACAAAAATAAACCTCTCTCTGTAGGAGAAATTGTCTTGCTGGAGGATCAAAATAAAAAACGTGCATATTGGAATTTAGCACGCGTTATCCGAGTGATCCCTGGTCGAGATGGCAACATAAGAGTTGCTCTTGTAAAAAGTAATAATTCAGAGTTCTTGAGACCAATACAGAGTTTGTTCAGATTGGAACTGGATAATATACTAGATAATACTCAAAATGATCAAGTTCCTTTCACCACCAGTAGTGGTAGAATTGTAAAATCACGAATAATGTAATTTATGTCTTTGAGTTATTATAATTAATTTTTGTTCTATTATTGTTGTATTATTCATCAGTATTAATTTTGTTTTCAAGTAATATGATTTAAGTATTAAGTAATTTTCTTTGTTATATAAACCTCATTTATATTGATGTAAGTTTTATGTTTTGAGTGTGTAGCCATCCACTCAAAAGGTGGGAGAATTGTGGTGACACACTGCCTTTCTGTGGCAACCTTAAAAAATTCGTCTTTCACGAGGATCACGTGCCCAGATGCATCATTATGTCTACGTCTGCTTTTCTGTTTGATAGTTAGTTGCATTTAAGATTTTGTAGAATTAGAAATGGAGTGAAAATAAATGTTGGTCTTTTTAAAAAGTGTCGGTTCAGATTTTCGAACCTATGATTTACTTGTTAAGCAACAGTTGTGGTTTCTGGAACCTCTAAATTGAATGTTTGTATTTTGAGAGGCAACGCGGATTTCAGGTCGGCGGATTTTTGGTATTTGACTGTACTATGTAAAACTAGTATGATTTCATGTTTTTAGTTAGAGAATTTTCAGCTCTACACTTATATGCGCCCTCAGGTTGCCAAAATGCGGCGATATTTATGTTTGCGGCGACTTTACGTTTTTATATATGGTTGTGTGATGTTTTGGGGGTGGTTGCTTCTATGGCAACCCTTTTTGTGTGGAAACTTGCAGCCATATTTCCAGCCCCGTGCCCAACTACAAAAATGACGAAATTTGAAATGCCCGTCACGCCGACAAAATGGCGAAATAGGAAAATTCTAGAAATAGTTAGTTTTACCATATCTAGCACATCAAAGTAGGGTTTCCAAGATTGGCACAATTATCGCCAACCAAAATCATTCACGCCAAGGGTGTGGGCTCTGCTAGGATCCAACTGCATTCATTCATGGTAAGTGCATTTTATTTTAAAATTGTTCTTATTTTGTAGACTGTTATGTTCATTGTTTTTTTTAGTATGAATTTCTATTGTTATTGCTGTTTTTTTTTTTTATTATTATTATTGTTTTAAATTTATTTTAGTTCTTTTAGTTTATTTTGTTGATTAGTGCACAATGAATAGTTTGTGCAATTCGTAGATGTTTTTTAAAGTTTAAACAGAATGTTCTGTACATAGTATTCTTTGAAATTTATTGTTATGTTAATTTATTTAAGCTAGGTGTGTGTAGTTCGTAGATTCCTTTGCTGCATAGATTGTGCAATTCTGCGATTTTTTTTTTTTTTTTTTTTTTTTTTTTTTATGTTAAAACATACTGCTGTGTACATGGATTCTTGTCAAATATTTTTGGTTAGAAACTTTACGTTTTTGCTATCTAAATTTTTTGTTTCGGATTTTTAGCTTAAATTGTGTATTCAAAACGTGGTTTTCACACATGTGAAAATCGCATTTTTGCACACATTTTAGGCTTAAAGTTCGAAATGTAGACGAAAAATTTAGGTAGTAATATGGCAGGGTGGAGTTTTCGCCAAAAGTGTTTGGCGACAAATTTGTCGCCAACCGAGGGCATATATGAGAGTAGTTCTGAATTTTCAGTTATATTTCCAGCATTATTTTTACTCCCTAGCAACTACTTCATGCAAAAAATGAAACAGATGTAATATGCTTAAGCAGAGTTTAATAATTCCTCATGCAATAATATTATACTTCTTCTAGTCAATAAACTTTTCAAATGACTAATCTTAGTCACTGCTTCATATTTTGTCCCCCACCCCTTTTTTTTAACATATATATACTTTCAGGTCACTAAAATATAACATAGATGTGATTTTGAAGATTTTCAATCAAAATATATTGCAAAACAGATCTAAGGAATGTATTTTAAGTATTGCAAAAATGTCGAAAATATATTAAACATTTATAAGTGCTAGCAAAATTTACACTGTATGATATTACCAACATTTCAGTGGTTATTTCATCAAACATTTCAGTCAATTATAAATAAAAATAACATTTCAGTCACCAACATTTCAGTTAATTATAAATAAAAATAAATTGAATGTAGTAAGGTAATGAAGCATTATACAGAAAATGAACGATTTTAACAATGATAAATGGGTAAATTTGAGTGTCTGAATATCTTAAAATCGAACTTACAGATTAAAGAAACTGAGAATTCTGCAACTATTGATCTTCAGGTTGGATAATATTTATCTTTCATAAAACTGGTTAATGCATAGGACCCTTTAGCAACAATTTTCATTATCACAATGACTTAATTCCAATCTCAGAATAGCAGTCAGAAGAAGATGAAATACTTGCAGATTATAGATACGGAAGGTCCAAAAATAGCATTAATAGAAACTCAGAATATATAATTTCTAAACAAAAATTATTTCCCAGCAAATCCATATGAAAACAACTGAAGGCAATTTTTTAAGGTAAATACAGTTCTAATAAATAATGAATATTTGTTTAATTATTTATTTGGCAAAGCACGTAAGATCTATCTGTCTACCCGATAATAAAAGGAAAAATTATTTATTTACATAAGAAAAATCCTGTGTCCACTTAAATATACTTTTAAGATGTTTTTTTTAATGATCTTCCAGAATAAACTGAATTTTACAATAATAAATGTACACTGATCAATATTTAAATAGTTCTAGTGGTAGCATATTTCGGTGTATTCAAAACAGAATGAACTAAACCCAAATAATAATTCTTCAATAATAAACACTTACCCACGTCGGATTTCAAAATTTCTTGCAGATGTATATCTTTGCCAATCATTAGTCTTTCTGCCCGCTTAGCCAAGGCCAACTTATGTAGTCTTATGTAGTATTTAGTTGCGCAGTGGCTAATCGCACCGACGGTGCGAATAGCTAACAGGCTATTCACACCACCTACGTTTGCGCATGCGCACAAGCAGCCCAGGTGCAAGGCTGGCGGTAGTGAGAGCGAAGGTTGTTAACCCTAACTCAGCAATAGAAAGGGTTGTTAATAGTTCAACAGCAAGAGAATAATTTACAAGTAATGATTATCAGTTACAAAGACGAAGTCAATCTATATACATGATAATGTTCCGGAAATGATTAGATAAAATAGGGATTTAATGATGGTTCTAATTGCAAGCGAGGACGAGTAATTAGTTAAAAAATCTTTAGTGTATTGATAAAAAGACTATAGAAATTACTTAAATTCTTTTATTTAACAGAGGAATTTTATGCAAACTTAGACCCCAGCATTGGACTGTCAGAATTTATTATTCAATAAGAAAACTTAGTGAAAATTATAATATTCTTATATATTCATCACTTTTTCAGTATCCACTCATGTTTATAGGTTAAAATGCCATACTCATTATCAAATTATTTATGAAATAAAAACCTTATAAAATCTGATAAATCATTTGTATGTGCAAATTTTTAAATCTAAATCTTTTACATTAAATTATTTCTGTCTTTTAAATTACATCCCATTATTTATTTCAATTTAATTGATTAATGTGTTTGTCATAATATTTCAAAGTTCTTTGAAGCACTTTTTGTGTCCTGAAAATGCCAATTATTTCCATAAAAATATAGCAGGCATACAGAATAATTCATTTAGTAGTTCATATAATCGCTTTTAACTTATTTCATGTCTAAATTTTCTTCACAGAAATCCGCTGTCTAATTTTTAGTATCTTTTATCGGACGAAATTTTTCAAAGAGGAATGAAAAAAAGGCTCGATTGTGCAAAACACATCTTTAAAGCTAAATGTATTCTAAGAAGTACAAAAAATGTCAACACGATTTTACCCTCCCCCTTCAAATCAGTCATTTAAACTATTCAAACCTTTCGGGAAAAGGATAAACATTGTGAACATAAAAATCTGTCCTTTTTTATATATACTATAATGAAAGGAAATATGTTTTTTCTTTTTATAAGAAAAGGAACCCATTTTCCTTTCTAAACTTTTGAAAGTCGCCAACGCTTAAAAAATGATAAACTACGCCAAGGTAGAAACCCGCCTTTGACATCTCAATGCGCATGCGTGGTTAATGTTGGTGCGAATAGCTTAAGCGGCTCATCGCACCGGTGGTGCGAATAGCATCGGCGATATAGTTGGCCTTGATACACAGATCGTATTTTATTCTCGAGTGTCAAGATGTAGAAACATCTTTAGCATTAGTGTTGAAGCAGTCGAAAGAATAGTTAATGAATATGGAACTTCATAGAGAAGAGCGAAAAGCTTCGCTTTGCATGAAATGGATCTGTAAAGACACCATTAGAAAAGGGAGGATCTACAAATAAAAAGCACTTATCTAAATTTTTAGTCAAGCACTATATAGACAGCTAAAGCCAAACAACATTAAAAACAAAAATAAACAAATAAATGTTCGATTCATTCCAATCTTTACTTGCCAATAGTGCTCCAAATTATAGCATTGAATAGAGCAGACAGGCCCGCGCTGACAATAGGTTCAAAGGTAGTGCGGCGCACGACGGCGCCGAGTCAGAAAGGCGCCGGGGGAACATTAAAACAAGCAGTTCGTTTCGCTTCCTGTCTGAACAGAAAAATTGTCTTATTTGAGCTCCCCTTCGGGGGTCGACTCAGATAAAACCTCGGAAGCTACTCATTAGGATCTGTCTCGGCCACAGGTGCTTAAAATCAGTCTCCGCAGGACTGGAGTGGCGTTCTCATCCGTTCCGTTGGTTGTGGTTGTGCTATATAGTCAGATATTGATAGTTGACGGTTCCCCGGGGCAAAAATCCCCCTTCCGTTGGTGGAGCTGGAGAGTTCAGCGAGCCTTTAAACTGCTTGAGGTTTCCAGTGGGCGCCTGGAGTCTCAAAACTACATATTCATATCATTCCTTGGTTGGAAGTAGTGTATATGACGTACTGTTAGCAGGCCAGATTAGTGGTCCTGTCTGTCTGACAGTAGTGACTTCGTTCTGCTGTCCGTGATTGGGGGCCCCTGTTGATGGCAGACGTTTTTACGTCAATCTAGGACGGGGGCGTGGAATGTCAGTTGTTGTGTATTCCTGTCGACTCAGCTAACTCTGTTAAGGAGGCTCCAGCAAAGGCTAACTGTTATATTTAGGTATCTGTTGGCCTTGGCTGTACCTACTTAGAGAAGCTAAATTTGCTCGTGCGTTGGATTGTGTCTACAGCTTTCCCATTCAGGTTTCGCGCGTTCGCTCCGATTCGTCGACGGTTATCACATGTCGGCATAAAGTTGAAAACTATGAACTTTATGCCAAAAGCCCTAAACCAGATTTTGTGACGTAGCACAGACTGGTTACCTGACAACGCAGCTCGGCTAAACCCTCTCGCTGCGCATCCCGCGATTTCGACGGGCATGGTAGAAGTAGCAAAATTTGCGCAACCCGCGATCTCCACGGGGATGAATTTTTTGTCGTCTATTTAACTGTGCAACCCGCTGTTTCCCTGTTCAAGTTTTCCTTACGGCATTTCTGAGATGTTTAATTATTTATTTAGATGTGGGCTAACAGATGGCGTTAGTTGTCCCCATTTCTGCCAAATATACAAGAATACGTAATGTAGCATTTTGTGCGCGCTTTTCAGAGCTCAAAGATGTGTGGCAGGAAGCGTTTCGCGAGTGATATAACTTATATTTCTGACGATATTTCCGATACTGATAGTAGTTATGATTCTGATTTCAAGTATATTGAAGATAGTTATAGCGAAACTGATGAGAATTTCTCGGATTCCTCTGCAGATAGTGATGAATCTGAAAATTCAGTTTCTGTAGAAAACGTTCAACAGTGGTGCAAAATTGATACGCAAAATATTACATTATGCAAATATCTTTATTAGTATATATGTTTTACTTTTGTATTTTATAAAATAAATCATAATTTAAACAATATTAATTTTCAAAATGTTCTCTTATATCATTAGTCATTATTATCATTATTATCATTTATTATCTATTATATCATTAGTCTTCCATTTCAGTATTCTGACAATGTTTTTCTATGATCTCAAAAAAATTGTATATTTTAACTTTAAAATATATGTAGATTTGAAATATGTAACAAAAATATACGCAATTTTTGAACCTATTTTATAAAAAAAAGTATGCAGTGAGAGGGTTAAACCATTTATGCGCTTTATACCGCCGTCTGAACGCAGCTTAAGGCTCCTATATACCAGGCTCAATCACCAATTTTTCCATCTTGGCGAGAAAGGGAAAACGCTGCCAGGTTTTGCACGTTTATCGCAGACACAGGATCAATGTCTGTTGATTGACAAATTTTTGACATAAATTGACTTTATAGACGGGGTTCCGCGCAATATAAACTTTTCTTATAATTTATTAGCTCTCGAATAGTATATAGACGTGGACTAGAAGAGAAACACGCTAATGTGACAATCAAAATCGTAAAAACAACCTTGTATTTAGCGTAGGTATATGAAACACTCAATCGATTTCGAGGGCAGCTAAAGGTCCCTCCTCATCAGGAGAAAGAAATACCTAGAAAGAAGAAAATAAAGGAGAAGGAGTCTCAGAAACACGTGGTCCTTATCAGCACTGCACGTGGTTATAACTGGATTTTTAATCAGAGTTGCACTGGCCGCTTACTTTTACAGAGCCAGGCTATCTGGCTATCAAAAATCTGAACTTCAAATAATGAAGTTCAGATTTTTGAGCGTGAAGGTGCATTTGCCCCTCGCTCCCTATTTTAACTTTGCTGATTTTTCTTGTCCTTTATGCTTGATCAGATAGCCTGACTCTGTAAAAGTAGGCGGCCAGTGCAACTCTGATTAAAAATCCAGTTATAACCACGTGCAGTGCTGATAAGGACCACGTGTTTCTGAGACTCCTTCTCCTTTATTTTCTTCTTTCTAGGTATTTCTTTCTCCTGATGAGGAGGGACCTTTAGCTGCCCTCGAAATCGATTGAGTGTTTCATTATACCTACGCTAAATACAAGGTTGTTTTTTCGATTTTGAGTATATAGACGTTTTCACTTAAATAAAAATTTTGAGTATATTTTGTAAAATATTCAAAATAACTTATGCCTTAGATATTTCAGTTTGGTTAGCAGACTAAAATAAATAAGATATAAATAAAAACGTTCAATAGCGTCAAATGCGGAAATAGTTAAAGTGTAGAGTGTGCAAATAAGTTTATCTTAATGATATTTTAACAAAAATTTCAATAATAAAAAATCTAGAAGCTTTCAGATTTTACATTACGCCCGAAGGGAAGTTTTAAAAAATTTTTTAGGTTACCATTATTTATTAAATATGATGATCTTTGCACTTAAACCATAAAATTCAGTTCAACAGCAATATCGCAAAATAAGTTTTAAAAAATATACATATCTTTAGAATTTCTGATACACAGTCTCGCCCGCTGGAAATAAAAATTTTCCTTAGAGTGTTGCCATTGTTCACTTTGAAATCGTTGAAGTTGTTAATTAAAAATTAGTCAAGGTTTTACAAAATATGAAATACATAATAAAACAAATTACAAATTACAAATTTGGGCTTTCAGATGATCATATTCGGGTGGAAACGTACATTATTCAAAATTTGATGGCTCTAGGTACCATAGTTTTAACATACATACATACATTTATATACATACGAAACATATATACATTTATGCAAATTTTTCATTATTTAATTTTTTTAAGTATAATACAGGGCTGTAATGTTTGGTAACAAGATTTTGAAGAGTGAACTGACATTTAAAGTTTTCAACGCAAAAATGCCAAAACGGAATTAATAGCCCTTCTGGACTAATGGCCCTTTGGGCTAAAAACGCTGTAAATTCATACTAAAAAAATAATTTTAGAACATGTTGTTAATTAAGGTATGAGGTAAAACAAACTTACAATCACTT